TATTATCAACTGATTTAATAATGACAATGGAGGAAAAGAGATAAGTGAAGATGAAGCGGAAAAAAAGAAATGGTATGGACGATGTTGAGCGACGAACATGCCGATGCTTTTATCGATTGATCGATCATTTGGGAACATAAAGAAATATTGTCTGTAAAACAAACTCTGGACAAGTTATAAAAGACTGATGTTAATCCTATCATGAAAAATTCTGCTTATATAGTTCAGTTTTATGATCAAGAAAATAATCATACAGATTGATTTTCAAGAAACATTTTTTTTTCTACATATAAGTACAATCTTGAACAAAAGAAATCGACCCTAATAAAGTGCTACTATTCTTTATAATATTAGGCTTATATTTTGGATCTATAGATGCGACAATAGACTACAATTACAAGCACTAATTCGTCCTTCATCGGTTCACATTTATTGAAGTTATAATTCACACATTTTCTTTCACTTGCGAAAAAACAACATATTCAGCGAGAATATGCGTTCAAAATGTTTTTTTTTCCGTCATTTTATTATTCCAGAGGCTGTTACTTTTTTCTTTTCTAGCGCTAAAGGCTGTTTTCACATGATTTCTTTATAATCAGCAAAGTTCAAAACGTATAGTGAAGATCTTATTAATTAGTACACTCTAAGATGGTAAAGCCATATTATCGTGTGAACTAAACTTCATTTAGTTTTGCAACACTAAATATTTTGGAACAGACTTATTGTCTTCTGAGATTTCTAACAAAATTCGAATTAAGGATAGATACGACGGTGGTCTTTCAAATGAAGGATTTGGCAAAATTTCTTTTTGTCAACATGGTTCATTAAGGTGTTTATAAGAAGAGGATAATGTCTAAATCATAATTTTAGTAGAAATGAACCAATGGAAGAAGTTTAGTCGATTACGATCAGAGTTTATTGTCACATTCATACATTCAAAATATCAGTTCAATATCATACAAAATAGTAGAATTTCATGGAGAAAAGCTACCTTGATCCATGATCGTATTTAAATTGGTAGATGAATTGAAGATATTATTAAATATTGATGCACAATCTCAAACTTCTTGTCAATCGTATTCTTTCGACTTTATTACATTTGTAATGATCTGTATATTATCCAAAAAGTTAATTACGTTGGTGTAATTTTTTGTATAATTACAAGCAATCATGAATATGAACGATGCAGAAAACATCGAAAGAAACCGTGTTAGTATATTTTTATGATAAACAATAATAAAAACTTGAGTATTACTATTGATAAATAATCGTGTTTTTTACTTCATATAGGAACGTACAGAGTATATTAGTATTTTGTTAATGTATCACAGATAAAATAGGAATGTATCTTAGTTAAAATAAAACAGAAACAAAATATTTGGCAGTTAGAGGTCGCGGACGAATTTTTGGGAATGCTGGATCTAAGCTTCAGAGCATAGGATCCAGATGAAACTTATGAAGGATGATATTGGACTTCAATGATGAGGTTTTTGTCAAAAAAATTTTCTGATCGAAGTTTGCGAAAAACAATTTTTTTTTCCTGAGCCTTACGTAGATTTTTCTTTTGCTGTTAGTAGAATTCCGTTTTTTAGTATTTAACATCGAATTTCATCGATGGATTTTAAACTTCATCTAAAAGTATGCATCCGTTCATGAATTATTACATTTTGAAAATTTGCTACATGCTGCTGAAATTTTAGCAAAAATTCGACACGTTATAATTCCTGAACGGATGCATTCTTTTAGATGAAGTTTAAAATCCATCGATGAAATTCAATGTAGGTTACTATTAAATACTAAAAAACGAAATTCTACTAACAGTAAAAGAAAAATCTACGTAAGGCTCAGGAAAAAACATTGTTTTTTGCAAACTTCGATCAGAAAAGTTTTTGATAAAACCTCATCATTGGAGTCCAATATCGTCCTTCATAAGTTTCATCTGAGTCCGATGCTCTGAAGCTTAGATACAGCATTCACAAAAATTCTTCCACCGCTTTTGTTGACAGTAGACACTTGTTGTAAAACAGAAAAATGTTAAAACTATTCAATCAAATCGACAGTAATAAAATGATACACTTGACAATTCTTATTATTTACACGAATAGTTTAAAAAATTTTTGCGGTTTCTCGGTGCATATAGGACATGTATTTACTAATGCACTGCATGAAGTGCACAAAGCCAAATGCAAACAAGGAATGGCTGCAATTTGTTTGGGATTTGTCAAACACCAACAACAATCATCAGTAGTATCTGAATAAAAAAAACAAAGAAAATATTATAAATTATGATGTTTTATCTGTCTATAGTGGTATAAAGGAAAATTACTTGCAGATTCAATTGTATTTAGTTCAGATAACGATCTTGCATAAAGACAATTAGGCTCTAGACGAAGATGTTCCCTGTTGATCTCATTCAGTGAATAATGATGAAAATTAGTAACACCAACTTGGCAATGATAGCATTGAAGTCTAGTTCCTATTCCGCAATAGAAAAAGCCAGATCTCACTAGTTCTTCAATATTTTTTGGCGTTCCACCAGGAAAATTAAAAAACGATGCGTATCGATTAGGTGGGAGACTGTAAGTCGAATCAGATTTTAAAAGCACAGGTGAATTTGGTTGTGATAAATAATAAGTTATTGTTTCTTGTGTAAAAATTTCATGTAAAAGTTTGATGGGCACTGAACTTGATTCAATTGGATGTGGTGAAAGAATAAAAGGACAATTTGGTGACAATTCCTGATGAATATTCCGAGGATTATCATTATAGTTCCAATTATTACGTTCGACACCACAATATAAACACATAGTGTAGTCTCTTCCTTTTGCTCTATTCGAACACCAACCACCAGTAATCATTTGAAGTCGAGCTGGTAATGTAGAAGGCCAATCAATAAATGAATATTCACGTATAATTGTTTTCTCAATCGCTTCTTTACGATCGAATACATGAACTATTCAAGAAAAATGAATTCATATTTACTTGTTAAATGTATAATGTATCCCTCTCGCTATTCTCAACCAAAACTAGCAATAGGTTTAATATTCCCTATTATTTACATCTTGGGCATTAGTTTAGTACCTTTTCGAAACAGGTAGCAAGAAAAACATTTCTATTTGAGTTCTAATGTCGCATAGCAAACTACACAATGATATATACTTACGAATTCTTCTTGCTTGCTCTCTAATCTGTTTTATTTTTACGCTTGGTATAATAATATTTTCTTTTTTAGTATTAATTTGTTCAATTTGTTTTTGAAGAATTAAACAAGCTATGTACAAATCGTATTCAGATACAAAATCATCGCCTAAGGAAAATGTTCAAAAAATACAAAAGAAAATGTTTTATTTATTAACTCACCTTTTATTTTTAATTGATTTTCCCAACATCGTTTGATAATAGATAATTTAAAATTTTGATTTAATAAACGTTTTGATATCGTTAAATCTAATCGATCAGCAACAAGTCTTGATAAAGTACGATCATCAAGTGTCGAAATTTGTTGACTTTTTGTAGTTAGATTAGTATTTGGTATATCATTAGAACCTGTTCTTTCTTCTAAATCATTGTTGAAAAAGAAAATATTTAATTTTTGTCTTACAAATTTATAATTTCTTAAACATACCTTGTTGTGTTCGTTGAGACTCTTGAATTTTACGATACAAATCCTCACCACATAATTGTCGAGCATATGCACAATGTGGAAACCGACGTGCATGTTCAATCAATGGATTATCATTTGAACCCAAGCTTTGTAATGAACCATTACAATAAAAACAAGTAACAATAGTATTTGTACCAGTATAGAAAAACCCTGCTCGAACCAAATCATCTACTAATGGTAAATCTTCATTTGGCCATGTAGCAAATGATGGATGACGTTTAGATGCATCTGAATAAGCAGGGTTACACGAACCTACAAACACACCATCATTCGATTGTAATGAACCAAGATTATTTGATGCTGATGAACGATGATTTGAAGTTAGTTCCGTTGAATTTTCATTAATATTAATCATAGGTGAAGGTACAGGACGTATCAAGTTTGCTTTAACATATATGCAATTATATGAAATTGTTTTGTGTACTTCACATGGATCATCTGTATCTGGTGTCCATTGTTGACAAATAAGATTACAATAAATGCATATTACTCGATCACCAATATTGCAACTAAAAAATCCAGCTTCAATCATTTGTACATTTGATGGACTAGTACGATGTGGCCAATGGGAGAAGCTACGTCTTCGCACTTGTTGAAGTAAAGAAGTTTCGGGTAAAGTGTTTGGTACAGGATGTGAATTCAATGTTTCGAATTTTGGACGTTTAGAAGGGCTTTCTAGTTCACCTGACATCGATGTGTTTTGAACAGCAGTTGCTGGCGAAAAGGAAGATGCAAGCGTCTGTGATACTTCAGCTGGCTTTCTAAAACAGATGAATGGACATTCAGATTGACGTTTCGAATGAATAGTCAATGAATCCTTCAAGTGCGAAGTCTGTACAACAAGCTTTATCTCAATTACCTGTGTATTGACATGGGATGGTAGAAACAGAGCATACATTGTAGACGCCTAGTATCTTTATTGGTTTAGCTAATAGGTGAACTCGACTATGAATATCATCAAGAGTTCGCGAAACTTCTTCCTTTTTCTCTTGTCATTTCGAAGAAGCATTCGTCGATTTGTAAGATGCTCGCATTTCAAAATGGCATGAAGTGTTGATCATAGAAAACTTGTTTTGAACGTTTATCAATGCTCCTTTCTGGTCGAGAAAAATGCATCGTTTTCCAATTATACGAAATCCTTTGCTTCTTTCTATTTGAAAGCTTTCAAAAATAATCCTTTCCAGTCTCAAGATAAAAGCATGAGTATAAAAACGATATTAGTATAGAATATATTTTACTTCTGCTTAGGACTGTTGATGACTTAGTTTTGTAAATCTATCTATTTTTTTTCAGCTCTATGTTGAAGTCAAATATTCTATCTTGTTCGATATATTATGCTATCAGTCACACATATATGCATCGTTTTTATTTTCTTTCTTTCCCTTTATTATGAAAAATCATTTTTTCTGAATTTCGAACCAAATAGTTTGAATTCGGCTCATAATTCACAGTTTCTCTCATGAAAACTAAAGTTTTCTAGGATATGAATATGATATTTGAAATCAGTGTCAGAAATTGAGCCGAATGATATATGTTCTTGCACCTTGCAATGTCTTTCACTTTATGGTGAAAACTCGAAAACTTCTGAAGTGATCGAAAACGATCAAAATGTATATGAGTCAGTTCAGCTTTTGACGCTGATTTTGTATATCATATTCATATTACATAAGACTCTAGTTTTCACGAGAGAAATTGTGAACTATGGGTCGAATTCCAAACTATTTGGTTCGAAATTCAGAAAAAATAATTTTTCATGATAAAGAGAAAGAAAGAAAAGAAAAACGAAGCATACGCGTGTGACTGGTAGCGTAGTGTATCAAATAAGATAAAATATTTGACTTCATCATAGAGCTGAAAAAACTAGATAAATTTACAAAAATGGGTCATCAACATTCCTAAGCAAGAGTAAATGATGTTCTGTACTAATATCGTTTTTTACACTTATCTTTTTATGCTGCGTCAAAAAGACCTATTTTTGGAAGCTTTCAAATAGAATGAAGCCAAGAACTTTGCATAACTTGAAAATGATGTGTTTTTTCTTCATGATGAGCAACTCACTCTATCAAATCATGTATTAAAATGACGAAAAAAAAATTCAACATGGATATCGAATCACGGATACCTTATTTATTTGATGAATCACTTTGAATAATGGTGGAAAATCTAGCGGAAATGAATATTTTGATTTAACTATCGAATAAAATCTTAATGAGATATAATATATAAAGGAACACTTTTTTTCATAGAAACAAGAGGATACTTTAAGCGATGAAATCGACCTTCTCTCAAAATTCACTTACTTGTTTTGTGAATAGTTAATGAAGATGTCACAAATCGATTGTCGTTCCAATTAGACCGTTAGACTTTATTCAGGCTTCACTCAGCTTACTTAAAACTTATCAATCTGTCATAGACTCATGATATGCAGTGTTGAGATGGACATTTTTTTTCTTTCCTCTGTCTGGAAGAGATATAGAAATTATAATGGATATTATTATTTTCCTTTTTCTTTTAGACGATATTATTTAATTATATTTACAATATGAGAACATCCATGACGAAAATGTTCCCTAATTGAACCTTAAGAGCTCTACAAATAGGTAGTATAGCACTAAGTTTAATTCTTTGATAAATCACTTCAGTGGCACGCACAATGTTCTTGAATGCAAAAAAAATATCGTTTTTCGACTGGAATTTGACCAAAATTTGTTACAAAGTTCTCCGAATACTTTTATTTTTGTAAGCAATTTCAAACTCGGTTTCCCTTTAGAATTACGTGAAAAACTTCAGTCACTCAAGCGACAGTTTTGTTATTGACATTCTCTTCAAAATTTTTAAAAAGTTGGGAAAATCCAAGATAGCAGATGAATAAACACTTAAAACGATGTATTGACTAGTTTTAATTCTTCATATAATCCTAAGGAGAATGAAGGCTGAATATTTAAACGAAAATGAAATTTGTCTGGCAATGTTATGATATACATATATATATAAATCGATTCAGTTTTTTTATGCGGGTTTCAACTATACCCTTTGTCTTGTTACATAGTTCAATTATTGTAGTCATAATCAGTCAAATATCAGTTGAACAAGATATCTTTTTGGCGGTCGAGAATATTTTACCTTTCATCGGAGTCAATCATCAAGAAATTGAGCTCATAGTCATACTACCAATTCATAGATCTTTAAAAATTCAATAGACAAAGATTTTCATCATGGCTTTCGTCATATTATGTATATAAATGAATAATATTAGATAAAAGAAAAAGGGAAATAACAATATTTTATTACATTTCCTGTTTAGTTCAAACGAAGTGAGTTTAAGAAAAAAAGAAAAACTCTTCATAATCATACTGCATATCATAACCCTATCGCAGATTGATAATATCGAGCTTTGAGTAAGCTGTACGCGAGGCAAATAACATCTAACTGTGAGAAAAGGAATGAGAATTGACTTCCGGTACCTGAATTGACTATTGGATGAAAAAGAAACTGAATTTTGGATGGCGACCATTGCCATTACTTAACAATCTTCTTCCTTTATTATAACTATGATCATGCACCACATCCCTTATTTCTCAATACTAGATATTCAGATTCACTATTGAGTCATGGTTTATGATTTTTATTTTCTCATACCTTTCTCGGTGGGATAGTGAAAAATCTCTGCTAGAGTAAACTAAACTTTTCTATGATCATATTTTTAATATTATGGAAAGTATGATAAAAAATTCAAAAATAAGAATGTCTACTATGTAAAAGTAATCTTCCGAACTATTAATCCTTATCACTCTATTATAGAGACGATTTGAAATGATAATTTCTTTGATCATTTTATAGAAAATATTTGCTTGCTGTTAAATTGAATATGACTCATTTTTCACATGTACATGACGAAAACTAGTTGGTATAAAAAAAAATTGAAAAAAATTGCACAACAAATGTGCAATATTTTTACCTACTCGTCAAAACATTTCGTAAGGTGGTAGTTGATTCGACGTCTTTTTTAAACCTATCGAAGTAGTTTTATAAAGTGAAGTCAATTATAATTATCTGTCGTCTTACAACAATATGTTTTTTTGAAGAATAGATTAAAAGAATCTAAATTTTTCGCATAAGTCTCTACCGTGTGTTTTACCAACTAATTTTCGTCATACATGACGGCAGAAATATGAGTCATGTGTAGTTTAAACGAAAAGAAAGATTATCATCAGCTAATAAAAACCTTCGTTTCTAACATATGTATGGATAAGGTAATGTATGTTTAAATCAACATTGTTATTATCATTATTTTTGCAGTTTGTACTATGACTAATTATTCAGGTCGAGTATTTTAGTAACGAAATAAAACCATATAAATAGATTTCAAAGAAATTAAACTCTAGCCCCTTGTTACTTCTAATGATTGTAAATTTGATGAAACTAAATTACAAGTATCGATGAATTATTCTGAAGCACAAAGAAAAGCGCAAGAGTAAATCACTTTACCGCTTCTCACGAATCGAAGATCCAAATCATCGTACAAACAAATCAAAATGTCTGTTTGTGTTCCTTATTTTCGCCGGTAGGTTTTATTTCCCAGGTAAGAAGGAAAAAACCAAGTAAAGTTTCCAAGTAAATTGGAAACTTGGTAATTTTGTCTGACGTCCACATGTAGGCAAACGTTATTTTTGCCTTTCATCAAGCACATCAAATATTTTGTGAGAAATAACTATTCATTTTTATCGTTTAT